ACTATAATAGTTTCTTATCAACTTCAAATCACGATTTTGACTAAAATATTTTGAATCAACCGAACAGGTAATATAGATTTTGATCAGTGTTAGCAGTCGTTTTTTACATATTAGATCATATAATCTACCTAACTATTCACTAAAACAAATTTTAGAATAAATAAGTTTGTTTATATGATCTTTGCACAAGAATTATATAAAAATTTATGACATAATTATCTATGTTTAGTGTGCAACAAGTGTATATATGCGTTCGTTTTACGAAATAAGATAATGACATCTGTATATAACAGTTGTTTATACTTTCGTCATCATGATGAGGTACACTGGGATTTATATAATTTTTTTGCATTCAGCCTTATATATAAAAATTGATGTTTATAATTAATTTAGTCTATTCTATAAATGTCGATAAAGCGCATTATGAAATTCATTGTGTACGGAACATGTGATTCTATAAGTACACTATATTTATAAACAGTTGATATATATATATATATATATATATATATATATATATATATATATATATATATATATATATGTATATATATATATATAATATATATAGTTTGTATCACGAACTGATCTAAGCTAGATTACTTTTGAAAGCTGGGAAGCACTGGATAGTTTATTCGTCCTAGTATTCGACTCATCAGCGTGAATCACCACCCCACATCGTAAGTGGACATTTACCCTCTTGGCCGCTGAATAAACTTCCATTAATGTACATTTCTAACTTCAGTCAACTTAAGGCACTGCACAACCACCTTCAGTTACCTGTAGTCGATAAATGTATTACATCATGCATAGTTGAACTCCCCTAGTTATAGCTTCCTCATACCAAACCTTAGGAGTTGTATCTTGAATCTAGCCACTAGTGAGCAAATGATTATTATTAGTATACGGCAGTTTGTGAAAACTGTAGAACATTTATGGTGTAAATCATGCAATGATTCTTGCTTGTTTTGAGATAGATAAAAGATATTTATTGATCGATCAGATCTATCTTTGTCCATACCGATTAAGTAGTCATTAAGTAGGTTTACGATTTTTTTTATTGTACACAACATATTTGCTTCTTCATTAAAATTATAAGCTTTTTTTTATTAGAACATAAACAAATCATTATAAATTGATCAGATCATTCTCAAATACATAATTAATTTTCTAATTCATGATAGCCACCGAATACTTTTGTATGATTCAGTATAACGGGAAGATAGTTTGACATTTGGCGCGGATCTAATGCGTTTTTAAGTGATTTCATGTCATTTACAAAGTTCTTATTAGCATCTACAATTGGGAAGAAGGAAACAAAACTATTGTAGCAAGTCTTGTTCATGCTTGTTTCTTAAACAATTAATTTATGATGAAGAAACTGTAAATTATAATTTTCTGTTCTTCTGTGTATATCACTACAATAATAAAATGAATTATGTAATTACGGTAAATTTTGTAATTAACCAAACATGACGAAAGGAATTTTTAACGTATATCATCTGTATTAAGATAAAAGAGTAAAATAACAGTATACAGAGAAGTTTTATCGGTAAGCTTAATGATAACAGCAATTATATATCGAACATTTTTTTATAATCTCATTAGTGTACTGTCCTATAATGGTCAGTGTAAGCATTTTTTGTAACGCAGTGACAGAGAAGGGTGAATATTTTAGACATATCGTATACTTATATATTGGTTCTAGATTAGTTTTACTGATAGATTGAAACAGATTGTTGATAATATACTTCTCATAATTCATAAATTAAGGATGGAAAATTGTCACCTTTATTTATACCTATTGTGTTTATTGTTTTAAAAGTAATCTATTTCTAATTGTTGAGATACATACATACATACACATTCAAACTTCATTCTGCCTACTTCTTTTTTTTATACAATCACATTGTATAATTAGCCTTCACAGACAATAATCTATTCAATACGTGTATATTTCACCTTGTACTTGATTACTGGATTCAAATAATCAAATTATTGTCTATTATAAATGAACTGATCAAATAATGAGAAATGTTATTAGTTTATTGCTATTCCTATCTGTTATGATGTATTTTTTTTGGGAAATTCCATTTGTTTGACTTATGTTTAGTAGTATCATTGTAATATATAATAAAAATTAACTCATTCACAATTTATGGTTGGTTGAGTTTCTTTCTTAAATATAATTATTATTCTCTCTAACCTACAGTAATTTATGCCTTCTGGGAATTATTATACCAGTAGGTCATAACTATTATTGACCAATGAGCATTAAAAACAAACTTCTTTTTTTTTTTATCTGAAAATGTTTCGACTATTCTATTTATTTTTGTTGACCCTAATCATCAACCGAACTAATCTATAATTTAACAGAAAATAAAAAAGCATTGATTAAAACTGCTTACCACTGTGATGCAATTGATAGTTGTTATCATAAGAATTAAAATTAATTGACTAGTCATATAAATCAAATGTAATTTTATAGACAGAGTTAAACTGAGTTAGTGAATCATCACCTCAGTTTCTCTCTCTCTCTCCTGTTTTGATTTTGCCAGTACATTATCTCTTGTCTTGTGTTGTTGACAATTTCGGATAACAAACTGTCTATGAATTCAACTTCATAACGTCCCAATCAATATTTGCAATGGTTTATAGCTACTGAATTTTACTACAACTATGAATAGAGTTTGCCTTTTCTTCATTTTTTTTTTATTGTAACATACTCTTCTCATTGTTTTTCTTACCCACCTATAAATTTTTATCCTACTACTTACTCTATTGTGAAAGTTGCAATGTTGTATTTATTACTTTAGACAGTTTTTTATTCTATTCATTTAAGGTAAACACCCTTTTTTCCTAATTTTAGTTTTATTTTGATTAGGGAACAATAGCATTAGAAAAAACAAAATTACACAATGAATTGTTTTTGTAGACTACTGTTGATAAGAATTCTTTGTTTTTCGTATTTAAGGTCAATGTGTTATGTTTTTTTATTCTCTTTTGAATAAAGTTTTTACATGAATTATTTTACAACTTTTTACTGTATTTATTGTATTCTTTTAGAAAAAGTCTTACAAATGGTTGGGCATTGTTATGTGTATGCCTTTATTATTTTCCACCAAATAGTAAATTTCGTGATCATTTATATGCTTATCTTCAAAGTCGAGCTGATGCATCAGTTATTGTAAACAATCAAACAATCAGTACATCTGCTACTACTACTAATTTTAATCCAAATAATATTGATGAATTGCATAACAATACTGTATCCACTGAATCCAGTCTTAAGACAGCTGCAGCAATTGCTTCTGGTTTGAATCCGTTCAATGCGAATAACAACAACAGTAGCAATAATAATAATAATAGTAATAATCATGTAGATAAATATCAATTATCAAATGATTTTCTCATCAATTCAAAACACTTCACTTCACATTCTACTCATAATTATCCAATGGGCATAGCATTAGGTCCATGGGATCGTCCAACTGCAGCACATTTTGCACGTGTTGCACCTAGATGGTTTGTTCGTTCATTAAATGTTGGTGTACGTAAAACATCAGTTAGTCCATCGATTGAAGAAATATGTCATGTTAAGGTATGTGATTAATTTATCGAATGTTTAGAGTACAAATTATTTTCTTCACAATGATTATTTATTGTGCGTGCACTTAAGATGTTCATAATGCGAAAAGGGATACTTTTTCGGTGCTAGTATTAACAACAACATGAATCAATTTGTGAATTTTTGATACAAGTCTTATAATGTTTGTGATTCACAGGTTAATTTACTCAAGTTTGAAATATATATTCTGTTGCCAACATATATAGAACATTAGTATGTATGTGTTAAACGATAACTGTCTATCATTGTATTTTTTATGAAAACAAGGAATATCCTGAAATTTCATAAACTCAGTACAGTATAGAGATAATAAAATTGTTTTGATTAGAAATAGCGAATGCGTAATCATTTCAAGTTCTGTCATGTTACAAGATAAATCAACTAATGTTTACTGAAATTTATCATAAGTGGTTTTGTGTACATGTGTGGTGGCCAATTTCTACTTGTTCTTAATCTTCGTAATTAGCTCGTCGAGACAATCGTTGCCAAACAGCGTCTGAAGGTTTGTAAATCAGAACGTAAACTCGAAGGGTTGAATACGTTTATTTTGGTACACCATAAATAGGGATAGCAGACCGGGCAGGCACACTAGCGAGTGAATGGGCGAATGTGCAAGTGTATTAATAGGATTAAAATGTTCGTATATATACATAGGAAAATGTCTGAGTCATCGTGGTATTTAAGAGATCAATATTAAAGCGAATAGGATGCATATGCGCGTAGGCGTTAAGATTGCTCAGTCATACCAGCTCATACAAACCACACAATAATAAAAGCCAATGGTACATATAAGTTATTGTTATACAAATGGCTTGGTTAAATAAATTAATCGAAAGGGCTTAACCAAATTAAATTGTAAGCGAACTCGAATATACTTGGAGGCGGCACTACACATGTAATACGCTGGGCTTAATCAGTAGCTTTTCTCTGTAGCCAATTATTCCAATTCAATTGTACAAACCGTTGAATTTAGACAGACTATTCTGATGATATACCTGTGGTTTACGTACAGGTTGATAATGAATTCAAGGGTTACAATCATCATCATCACATATAAGTTAATTGTAGTTTCACTTTCACGTGACGTTCTCCCTTTTACAACAAATCACATAGTTCAATGAACTGACTGTCTATTGAATAGCTATCAACTGTATGATACAAATCATCATGTTTATCACAGTGTTTATTTAGTTACTTGTTTCCTGACTATTTTTATGGTTGAACATCGTCTCTCTTTTTCTAACTTACAACCTAGATTGTGTTTAATTTTATTATTTGCGAATCGATTTAATAATAATAATAATAATAATAATAATAGGAAAGGTAGTTTCATTGTCAACATCTTTCTCCATAGGCAGTATGGATAATGATATATTTATCATTTAAAAATTAGGTCAGACAGACAAAAGAAAAAACGTTTTGTTGTTGTTGTTACAAGTTTTGTCCATGCAAAAATTGAGATTAATGAACTAAAGCGAGATAATTCATTATTTACTTGTAGAGTTCAAGTTACTGTTATCGTTGATTTAGTCATCTGTTTGCAAGATGCACTAGATTACCATTAAGATTAGTATGATAATTGATGATAATTGATACTTTTATCGTTAACTTATTGGTGTGGTGTTGACGATTTAGGTGAATTCAGGCTCTTATTTATAGAATCTCAATGTTAAGTCGTCGTAACTTTCCTTTTCTCTTAATTCAGTTGGTTAACAGAAGACCTTAGAACTATTTGATACTCGTCAACAAAGTTTACCAATAATATTGATGAAATTGATTTTCCCTTGGGGGATTCAAACCTATTTCACTCAACCTTACAGTTTAAAATATTATCGACTAAGCTCTATGAGTCACAACTCAATCTTCCGTAGCATTCAAATATTTATAATCGATTGACCCAACCATATTAGACATTAATTAATATCATGTATAAAATATAAAAATTACTTGAACTAGTCGTCACATTTACACGCGATCGATAAAATTCAATTATCATCACTAAAGGACTAGACCAATACAATACTGGTCACCTATCAGTGATCAGTCATTCATAGATACATTTCTATCTACACTTTTTTATTTTACTACTGTTTCTTCATTTGTTTTTCCTTTTTTCTTGTTTATCATCTTTAAGGATTTTTTATTAAAACCATGTATATTTGGTAGTTCCTTGGATGAAATGATGCAAATACAAGCATATAGGTTTCCTCATTTACGTCTACCATGGATACAAATATTTCTCACTGAAGAAATTCTACGTTTAAATGGAGCGCAAACAGAAGGGATTTTTCGGTAAGTCTTATTCCCGTATGTGTTTGTTTTTTCAATTTCTTCGGAAAAAAAAAAACCGAAAATCAACACCATTTAAAAAAAAAAACATTCTAGTACCATGGCATTCCAGTATGCGCGCTACACAACATTTACAAAACATTATGTTATTATTAAAAAAAAAATAGGGTAAAAATATAGCACTATCGCACTCATTAACTGTTGTTACCAAGTCCTAACCAAATCATCTTTCAGAGTTACTTTCAATATCTTCTGATGTTAGTAGCCATATTTGATAACATATCAAATTCACGAGTTACATCATCAATTAGACTCGTACTTTTTCACATTATCCAAACTACACCAACATAGACTAACCTAACATATACATTTTTACGTAAACGAATTGTATTTTTTTACTCTCAAATAAATAATTAGACACTGTCCAACCCAATTCATCGATTGACGTACTTATAAAATATAAACACTACCTGATAGACAGTGTGAATTTGTTCATACAAATAACTTTTCCAATTATTTATACAAATAATCTTTTTTTTTGACTTTTTTGTATATAAAATTGATTTTTTTTCTTCTTTTTCCTTTGGTTACTTGGTCGTTTTATTCCGTGTTTTTTTTACCGTGTTCCAATTACCAGTACATTTTATTGGTCCTCTTTTTAGTAATACTAATCATAATAATTATATTCACTATGACTGACATGTTTTATGGTTGACCAATGAAGTTACGCTTATTTGTTTATATTCCATGTTAGTATGTTAATATTACAAAGGTTTATTGATATGTTTTTTGAATGCCGAATGGACATTTTAGTGTAGCAAATAAGTAAACGGAATGTAGCCGTTTAGAGGATTTTATATATATATATATATATATATATATATATATATATATATCGAAATCAATAAAGAAGGGTACATAATCGTCATTGCATTAACCACTTTGATCCAAATTAATTAAAGTATCTTGGTACAACTTACTATGCTTGTCAATTCACATTTTATTTTCATGACTACTAACATGTTGCACTTCATACATCTTATCTTCTCTAAATTTATCGCGTTATTATTTTATTCAAAATCTCCCTTCATTGTTGTTCTTTGAAATATGAATAATTTTTATCATTAGAAATCGTTTGAATTAATAAGAATTTCGCTTCTTTTTTTCCCTTGAATAATCGTTGCCATCTACATAAATTGTCTATTTGCTGTAAGCGGCCAGACCAAAACATGGCAGAAATCCATGAAGTCACTGACAAGTGGACTGAGTCATGTTGGTAGATGTAGACTACCTGGTTGGGGTCCGCGAGACGAAAGTCATCAATGGTTAGAGACCTTGAACGACATGGCTCAAAATCGTTTGCAATGGCGCAGGTGCATCCACTCTTTGAGCTCTCTCAAATCCTAATCTTCTGGATTCGTCAGCACCTCTACCTTTGTCTTTCTAACCTTATCTCACTGAATTATATTTTTTGAATAATATCTTAAACCCTAGTCTTCTTTATTATAACATTAATACCTCTACTATCTTTATCACTATGGGATTTGATTTGACATTTGCATCTCTGTGCTAATAATGTGGTATGGCAACATGAACTTATGTACATACGTACGAAGTTCTACGTTGCAACTGACTAACTGACTGTAAGCACTGCTAATTAGGTGACCAACAGCTCAGTAATCATTGATTTGGAATCTTTTAGTTTTCACTAAATGATTCCAACAACTCATCCACTATAATCGGTCTTACATATTTTTCTAAGCTTTTTCATGGTTTTATTTATGTAGTGTGTTACGCATGCCTAACCACCGACTGCCTCGTCGAGCTGTGTTTTGCAGTTTAGGATAAGTTTGGAAGAAAGCTAGGAGAGGCCAAACCAAAACACGGCATAAATCCATGAAATCACTGACAAGTGGACTGAGTCATGTCGGTAGATGTAGACTACCTGGTTGGGGTCCGCGAGACGAAAGTCACTGATGGTTAGAAATCCTAGATGACATGGCTGACAACCGTTTGCAATGGCTCAGGTGCATTTATTCTTTGTGTTCCTAACCTTCTGAATTCCTCATCACATTTACCTTTTGCTTTTAAGTTTATTTCACTAGATTCTACTTCTTAAATAGTATCTTCGAAACCTAAAATTTCCTATTACTGCTAATAACCTTACCACCCCTACTACTATGGTATTTGAATTGACAATTTCATCTCTGTGCTAATATGGTATGGCCGCTTGAACTGATGTACGTCGTACGTAGATATGAAGTTCTACGTTTCTGTTGATTGTCTGATTGAATTATTTGATTCTTTAGTTTTACATACAAGTTACCGATTTTTACAATCATTTTTATTATTTACCTCACAAGTTGATACTAACAGACAATTTTGTTATTGAAAGAACTTTATGATTAATAAAACTATGAGTGGAGCCTTTAGCCTCTATTGTAATGCACAAAGACGTCAAGATCAGATGGAGCAGTAGTGTGATTAGAGGAGACACGGTCTGCTAACAAATTCTACATACCTTATCTTCAGACTTCGATTTACGAAGCAAGCAGATTATGGGTTGTCTTCTTTCACACATCATCTAGTCTTCAAAACTCTTTGATTGCGCCATAAATTCTAATTCGATACTCTTCTCCTCGGTAGTAACTTCTAGGCAACACTTTATTGCAAATTACTTAGAACCCACGTTGCGAGTAGTATTCAACAAATTATATGGTTTCATGCTATTCGAAAGATGTTCAGGCTTGTATATTATAATGACTCAAGCGAATGAAATCGGCTCGGATATACATTACATTAGGTTATACTATGGCAGCCTAATTGATTGGATATAAAGCAGTACATTCGTTGGCCGAAGTTATACTGCTGGCCGTATAGGGCTGAGAAATTAAGAAAGTGCTTCCATAAAACAACTAGCATCTGTTGCGATTTTATCTTTGACAACGCAAGTAAGGTGTTAGAAAATTTGACTTTAAATGCAGCACATCATCCCGTCGATCTTAAAAGTATGGAATAATCTTATCGAAAACTACTCAAAATGAAGTCTTGTGTGTCCCTTGGGCATCGCGATCAAGCTCCCAAGGTGCCAAGACTATTAGTCTACTTTATTTGATAGACACCTTAAAAAGTATGGTTTCCAATCTGCATATGAGAATCGCATTCATACATCTAATGGTAAATTTTGTTTTAATATGAACTAATAAAAAAACTTAACGATTATTCAGAAATCAATAATTTTTTCGCGATTTCAATTATAACAAAAAATCGTTAAAATGAAAAGATTAATGGATTAGAGTGATAAAAAATCTTTAAAAGTTAAAACACATACTGAGCCACAACACTAATAGTAACAACAATAGATATAGAAGTTTTACATTTGCTACACTGTTCAACTTCTTTTTTAACTACATTCTACCTATAATCATTCAGTTTTTCTTCAGTCTATGCCTATAATAATCGATGGTTAGAGACCCTGAATGACATGGCTAAAAATTGCCTGCAATGGCGCTAGTGCATCCATTCGTTGAGCTCTCTCAAATCCTAATCTTCTGGATTCTTCAACATCTCTAGTTTTGTCTTTCTAAACTTATCTCACTGAATCATACTTCTTGAATAATATCTTCTAACCCTAACCTCTCCGATTACTTCTACTACCTTTACTACCGCTACTACTATTGGATTTGAATTGACTATTACATCTCTGTGCTAATGTGGTATGGCAACATGAACTGATGTACTTACGTACGAAGTTCTACGTTGCGACTGACTAACAATCTATGCCTCATCATAATGACGACAAGTGTTGGTTTTATTTTGTGTTGTCTTATTTTCAAACTATTATTACCACTTCTTCACCAAATTCTGGTCAGGTTATGGAGAATTCATTGATTTAGACTATTTATTCCATTCTTTTTATGATATTATTTATTCATTTACGTTTTTCATGGTTTAGTTTTCTTGTCTAGAAATATTAAAGCTAAATTTTCTTCAATAATTAATTCTTGGTGTTTTTGGTGTTAAAAATATTGATTGAAATATTCAATCAACAACTATTTCATTCAGTGTGTACTGTTAATGGTATAATATAACCACTTGGTCTCATTTATTTCTTCACTATTCATGTTCAAATAGAATGTAGAACAATCTGCATCTTTCATTCCACACCAAGCAAGCATACTTTCGCCGTTATCACTGCATCTTTTCTAACACTCTAAATTCATTGCTTCAAAACAATGGAAATAACTTGTAAGCGAAGTCAAAATAAATCCCTTTTGTCTAGACAAGTTTATTACTATCCTTCTCATCCGTCAATCCCTATCCACTACTACTTGTCTGTCCACTTTATCTCTCTCTCTGTTAGCACAACAACACTTGAATAAAATCAATTTCTGCCTGTCTGTATTGCTCTCTCTCTCCATTGCGCGCACACGCATACACACACATGTAAACATGACTTAAATTTGTATCACGATTATTTATCTGAGGATTTTTTTATTATCACAATGATTTGTAATACCTACCATTAAGTAACTACCTGTTTTTGTACTTTTATCCATGAAAAACAGTATGTGAATCAATGCTGACTGATAAATCATTTCAGTGTAAATCCATGTTTTCTCATAGATATGTTGTCGTTCAATGAATAAAACTGTAAATTAAGCATTTCGCATTCATTAATTTAGGTGTACGAATACAAAATTTACTTTGTTGTAGGTTTGATTAGCCCACCCCCAGGGTGATGATTATCACATACACAGTATATACGACTTTCATAACTGATGAGTAGATAAAACTCTATCTATTCATTATTACTTAATACTATTTATAATTCATAGTTTGTGTTTGGATATTCATCCAATATCGTAAGAGAATTATTGGTCAATTTTAAGGTCGTCCTAGATATCAATGTCATGTACTCCTATCTTCCTTCTTATTGGTCGTCCTGACTGTTAATGTCACTTCAAATGTTCTTTCCTATTAGTCGACGTAACTGTCATTGTCACA